TTTTTTGATCCTTGAATATTGTGGTTACTTGGATCGCAAACAATACCTTTAGTTCAATCATATAACTCTAGATGACTCAGCAATCCACACTACACTGCCATGAAATCTGATTCGAGCGGTGGTATTTAGCGATCTCGATCCATGCGGACTGGCATCGATCTAGCCATCTAGGTGAGTCGGTGAAAAATATTAGTTTAGTAGTTTTGGCCATTTAGTTTTTTTTTTATGTATTAGTTGATCATAGAATAAAATTAACCTTGCCAAGTCTACAAATTTTGTTTCCTGTTTGTCTTTTATCCTTTAAATAACAAGATTAGGACTCGCGTAAATGTAGGTTTTTAATTTGAAATTTTATCCGTGTAAAATAAAACGTAAACGAAAAAAGTGGAAAACAAAAATTAGATGACCAGTGAAAACAATAATTAGGAATTAATTACTTATTTTAATGTAAGAGTTCACTTTTTTTTTTATATCATATGTTTATCAATAAAATTTAAAATAACAAACTATCGTATGTTTATCTAATAACAAGAAATTGATTTACAATTTAAAATATGTTTTAGAAAATATGCAGTTTTCATAAGGATATATCAACCTTTCCGCAATAAAATAGAGTTTAGTTTTCATAAACAAAATCAAAATATAGGGTATTTTTCAATAAAATAATATTAATAGGGTCTTTTACGAAAATTCCTTACACTTCCTCATATATTTTCAAATATTTATGTTTTTCTTTAATTCATATATAAATGAAGTTTATGTTTATTTATTGAGAAATTGTCTCTTATAGCCCCAAATCAAGTTTTCGGGACAAAAATAGCTCTCAAAAATTTATTGGACAAAAATAGTACCTTATTTTTTATTTTTTAAATTAATAAATAATTATAAATAAATACAAAAAATCATAAATTCACCGTTAATATTTTCCCGCCAAAAAAAATCCCGTCAGAATTTTCCCGCCAAAAAAATTTCCATTAAAATTTTCCGCCAAAATATTTTCCGCTCCCAGGAAAAAAAAGGGGCTTTTGCAAAAATGCCACTTTTTCAATGCCACTTTTCAAAAATATCCCTTTTTTAAAACCTTATAAAAAATGCTCTTAAAAATATAAGATTTACCCAAATATGTATGTAATATTATTAAAACATACACAAACTACATTTCTATGTATCTAAAATCTTATAAATACTTTATAAATACCTTATAAATGCATTTTAAATACCATTAAAAACCTTTAAAATATCTTGTAAAACCTTTGAAAAACCTTAAAAATCCTTTAAAATAACTTGTAAAACCTTTAAAAACACCTTATAAAACCTTATAAATACTTGGATCGAGTCTTCAAGTAGTAGTTACAATCCATAAGTACCTTATAAACCTAATAAAACATTATTAAAATTTCAGATTTAAAAAGGGGCATTTTAGAAAATGGACATCTAAAAGGGGCATTTTTGAAAAGGGGCACACCAAAAGGGGTATTTTTAACAATTTCCCAAAAAAAAAATCGTCAAAATTTTTCCACCAAAAAAATTTCCGTCCGACTTTTCCCGCCAAAAAAAACCCAAGAAATTTAGGAAGGATTCCACGAAATTTAGGAAGGATTCCACGTAATTTAGGAAGGATTTCACGAATCGTGAAACCCTTCCTAAATTACATAGAATCCTTCCTAAAATTCATAAATTCATGAAAGCATTCCTAAATTACGTGGAATCTTTCCTGAATTTCATTGATTCTTGAATTTCGTGCAATCCTTTCAGGAATCCTTTCTTGAAATTCAAGAAATCCTTCCTGAATTTCGTGGATTTTTTTGGCGGGAAAAATTTAACGGGATTTTTTTTGCGGGAAAATGTTGAAAAAATTTTTTTGGCGGGAAAATATTTTTACCTTGCGGAAATTTTTTGGCGGGAAAAATAAATTTTGGCGGGAAATTTCCAATTTTATTTATTTATTTATTTTAATTAAATTATTTATTCATATTTAAGTTTGTAGTGCTATTTGTGGTACTTTTCAAATGTACTATTATTTTTGGAAGAAAAACTTATTTTAGTGCTATTTTTGTCAATCTCCCTTATTTATTTATGTTTTTTATCTTTTTTTCGAAGCTTTTGACCAATTGATTATCAAATTCTTATTTGAATAAGACATATTTATTTTTCATGCAAATTTCCATAAAACTTCTCTCATATAATCAATCTCCAAACCTTTCAAGAAGAGAATGATGCACAAGGGAATAGTATTAAAAATTGTTATATAAAAATATTTTTTTCGTTTCGTATTTTTTTCTAATTTTCTATTTTATTTAATTATATATTAAAAAATATGTTTTTTTTTCGTTTTATATATATTTTTTTCTTCCTTTCAATTTATAATTTTTTTTTTTTATATATATTTTTGTTTTTTTTATTTTTTTCTAATTTTCTATTTAATTTAATTAATATATGTTAATTGTTTTATTTTAATAGAATTGAAAATAAAATGGGTATTTGGTCTTTTAACACAAAATTATGTTATTCTAGTAAAATAATATTTGAGTGTTAATCTACTTATTTTTCCCAAGATTTGGGTCAAACTAGGTAAATTTCAGAACTTTTTAATACAAATCCATGAGCTATCAAATTTATGTTCTCCACCCTGCAAGTATTTTCCTTTTTGTCTTTATCTTTTTTTTTTAAATAATACTCGAAATATATTAATTTTGGTTCATATAATTTTTTTTATAATAATTATACAAATTTTAGAAATGCAATATTGAATTTTGCTTGGACAGAGGACGACTTGCAAAACATTTCACGGAAAAAATGACATTTGGAAGTCTGTTCTGACTTCTGCTACACGGCACTTGATTTTTCTATTTTCCCTCACTAAACCCCAATTTTTTTAGAATGACTTTCGTTCTTCGTTTCTAAATTTCTTAACATGATTGACCTTTAGCGAGTTTACTAGTCGCAATCATCTTTTGACCGTTCTTTCAACTCAAGTCTCCTGAAAGAACTTTTCAACAATATGCTTCAAATCATCAAGTCAATGGAGCTTTATGTTTTTATTTTATATATATATGTAGTGACCAGCAACACTAATTTACCATCACTACTTGATTACATTTTCTTTTCTCAAACATGAAAGTTTTCTTATTTAATCAGAAACTTAGCTTCCTTCATCGTTCTTTCTGTTTCCTTTTCCTCGTTTCAAGTTTTCTAAACACTTTTGTCTGTGCTACACAACATTTGTGTCATTTCGACCAAAGGGATGCTCTTCTTGACTTCAAGAAGGAGTTTGGGATTCAGAAGCCTACTTTTGTTAATTTTGATGTCTCCTCTTATCCGAAGACAAAATCGTGGGTGAACAAAAGTGATTGTTGTTCGTGGGATGGTATCACGTGTGATGCTACGTCAGGCACAGTTATTGGGCTAGACCTTAGTTCCAGCTGCATGCATGGCCAACTTGAATCCAACAGCAGTCTTTTTAGACTGCGTCATCTCCGTGATTTGAATCTCGCTTACAACAATTTCACTGCTTCGCCAATCCTAGCTGATTTTGATAAACTGATGGGGCTAGAAAGACTTAACCTTTCCCATTCTTCATTTTCCGGCCCAGCTCCAACCAAGCTTCTTCAGCTAACCAAGTTGGTGTCTCTCGATCTTTCTTATTCTTCTTTTTCCATCGATGAATCTTTTCTTCGGCTACTTGCTCAAAACTTGAGGAACCTTAGAGAACTGGATATGAGTTGGGTAAACATTTCCTCAGAAATTCCACGTTAGTTGTCAAGCATGCGGTCTCTAAGATCCCTACATCTTGTCGAGTGCAACCTGTTTGGAGAATTTCCAAGCAGTATTTTTCTAATTCCCAACTTAGAGTCCATTATCTTAGACTACAATCAAAATCTGAGAGGCAACCTTCCCGTTTTTCATGAAAATAACTCTTTGATAGAGTTGAGCATGTACAACACAGCCTTTTCAGGTACCATACCTGACTCCATTAGCAGCCTCAAACATTTGATTTCTTTGACCCTTTCCTATTCCAAGTTCTCGGGGAAGATTCCCTTTTTACTTGGGAATCTTTCAAACCTTTCTAATCTTGATCTTTCTTCAAATGATTTTGTTGGTGAAGTCCCATCTTCAATTGGCAATCTAAAACAATTGACCTATTTTGATGTTGAGAGTAACAAGCTTAGTGGAAGTTTTCCAACTACAATACTCAATTTGACCCAACTACGTTCAATCTCTCTATCTTCCAATCAGTTCAAAGGCTCTTTTCCACCCAACATAAGCCATCTATCCAAATTAGTGTATTTTGGTGCCTGTAATAATTTTTTTACGGGAGCCATCCTTTCGTCCCTAGTCAAGATTCCTTCATTGACCCACATCTATTTGGATTATAACCAACACCACGACCTCCTTGGGATTGAGAATATCTCTGTGTTACCAAATTTACAATATCTTAATATTGTTAACCACAACTATTACAACGAAGTCAGTCCAGTTGACTTAAATATCTTCTTGCCTCTCAAGCAGCTAAAAGGATTAGCGCTCTTGGGGATCTCTCTTTCAACAAGAAACATCAGTTCTGAATCAAATTTTACATCACATTTGGAAGAGTTGTACTTACCAGGCTGCAACATCACAGAGTTCCCTGAGTTCATAAAATACCGAAGAAGTTTAGGGTCTTTAGACCTTTCAAACAATAAAATCAAAGGTCAAGTACCGGACTGGTTGTGGAGACTGCCAAAGTTGACCGATGTGAATCTCTCGAACAACGCTCTCAGAGGTTACAATGGATCCTTCAAAGCTTCTCCTCAGAGTCAAATCCTTAGTGTTGATCTAAGATAAAATTCTTTCCAAGGACCAGTTTTCATTCCAACCAAGTCTATCCTATATTTTTTGGTTCTAAGAATAACTTCACCGGAGAGATACCTCGCTCGATATGTGGACTCAGCTCTCTATACGTTCTAGATCTATCAGACAATAACCTCCACGGCTCAATTCCTTGGTGTATAGAGACTCAGATGATTTCTCTTGTTGATCTAAATCTCCGTCACAATAGACTCAGCGGAAATCTTCCTGAAGTATTTATGAATGCCAAGAACTTAGGGTCACTTGATGTCAGCCACAACCAAATGGAGGGAAAACTGCCTGCTTCTCTTAGTGGTTGCTCTGCTCTGGAAGTTCTAAATGTGGGAAGCAACAGAATCAACGACATGTTTCCCTTCCAGTTGAATTCTTTGCAGAATCTTCAAGTTCTTGTCCTCCGCTCTAACAAGTTTCACGGAACGTTACATAATGTTGTTGGGGTTTCGTTTGGATTTCCTCAGTTGAAAATCATCGATGTGTCACATAATGAATTCGTCGGTACTTTGCCCTCAGATTACTTCATGAACTGGACTTTGATGTCCTCCAAGAGAGATAATAATAGGGAACCAGAGTACATTAGGAATCCTCGTACATACCGCTACTACACTTCACTTATCTTGACGAGTAAAGAAGTGTCAATGGAGATGGATCGTATCCTTACAATCTACACGTCCATCGATTTTTCGGGAAATCAACTCCATGGAAAAATTCCTGATTCCATTGGTCTGCTGAAGGAGCTTCGTAATCTCAACATGTCTAGCAATTCATTCACGGGCCACATCCCATCTTCTTTGGCAAACCTGACAAATCTGGAGTCACTAGACCTATCCCAAAACAAGATTTCTGGTGAGATTCCTTTTGAGCTTGGCACCCTCTCTTCTCTCGAGTGGATAAATGTTTCACATAACCAGCTTGTAGGTTCTATACCACAAGGCACACAGTTTCAACGGCAAAAATGCTCTTCCTATGAGGGAAACCCCGGACTTTATGGTCCTTCCCTTAAGGATGTTTGTGGAGATATCAAAGCGCCAACACCACCACAATCTGAACCCTTGGAGACACAAGAAGAAGAAGAAGAATCACTGAGTTGGATAGCAGCAGGTTTAGGCTTTGCACCTGGAGTTGTATTTGGACTGGCGATGGGATACATAGCTTCATACAAGTATCAGTGGTTCATGAAGACTTTTGGCTGAGCAAGCAACAGAACACCAGAACTCGTTAAGTCACTCATCGATCATTTTCTCTTCCTTAACGTATTGTTGTTATGTTCGTAAATAATTTGTTGTATTTGCATGTGAATCATGTTTTATGTATAATAAAATATCATGTTTTGAACTATGAGTAAACCAAACACTTGACAAAAATAAAATAAAAGTTAGTTCATAGGTTTTAACATGTTTTCCACTTTCCACATTGTTGGTGAATAATATAAATGTTATTGTTGAGTGAATGCAATGTTCTATTCTTGATTAACTTACTAGTTCAGTAAATTTTTTTAAAAAAACATAACATTAAGATGCACACGTTGTTTGATAAACATGTAAGTACCAAAAAGATCCCAAACGAAAGTATTCTCCAAGTATTTTGATCACATTTCATCATGTACACTTACACACAAGTTTTTCCCCTCTTTTATTTAATATCCTGATTTGGAGGAGAAGAACCTGCTTATTCCTCTAGAGGGTTTCTCCGGGGTGGCGTTGGTAGATGAACCTGACCTTGAGAGCCTTGAACCCACTCGTGATGGCGATGTCATCGTATCGCTATTCTCTGAGTCAGAAGGGCATTTTGGAGACTCCATAAATCTAGGGACCTCGTTAACCCAAGTCTCAGTTGAATCTCCTTCGTCTGCTACGGCGTAGTTCTTTGGGACTGAGGTAGTGGTGGTGCCTGGTTCCTCTTCTTCAGAATAGGACTCATTTTGTCTTTTTGGTGACCTCAATTGTTCAGGTTGCGGCCGAAATGACTTCAGCTGCTTCCCCAACACAAATATGGTTTCTTGACACTCCGCTAACTTCTCTGCTGCTGCCGATAACTCTCTCTCCTGTACATATTTTCATGTTAGTTTTCTCTTTTACTCAAAGCTTCAAAGTCCTATGGACTCAGGAATTTATGCGTGTAGATTCTATGTATAAATGTGTTTGCTTTTGTGTCTGTGATTCGATGTGTATATGCACCTAAACTGATTGCATGTAGTATCAATTCAAATTCAATGAATAAGTAGATGATATAGGAGCAATATGCTTCAATTCAATTCAAGAATCAAAATGCAGAGAAAAAGCCAAGTTTATAAAGCTGAAATATTAGAAACAAAACATGATTCACATAGAATAGAGTCTGCGAAGCATTGCGAAAACATTACCTGTTTGCTCTTGATATCAGCTTCTTCATCATCCTCAGCAACCATAGAAGTGTTCCTGTGTCTGAGACAAAAGTGAAAATATAGACATGTAAAAAGCAGTAAGGAATTCCAGGCTCTTACATATTCTGGTAAAGATGATACCTTTGAATATGTTCTTCAAGTTCACGGCACCTCACAATGGCTTCTTGGTGGTTGTGTTTTTCATCCTCGAGCTCTTTCTCCAACGTCTCTATTTTTTCCTTAAGCTGATTCACATCAATCTCTAGATCAGCTGCACGTGATTCAAGTGATCTATATGACTCAGTCATACATCTGAGTTGAGTATCCGCCAATCTGTTTGACCTCTGAGCAGAATCAAACTGTGATCTAATGTCAGCTAACAGCTGCTCAGATTCTTGCAACTGAAACTTCAGCCCCTCAATATCCAGTGCCATTTTTTCTTTTTCTGATTTCAGTTCCTCTATTTCCTGTAATCTGGAGTCTGATTCATACCCCAAAACTCTGTTTTCATCACATGGTACCCCTGGTTCGTTGTGGACACATCCATTTTCATATATTTCTTGAGATGAATCTTTATCTACAACCTTGCTCTCGGGTAATGCAACCTTGTCTATGCAATCTGGACTCAGCGTTTCAACCTCAGAGGAAGCAAGACCCCTGAAATTTACCTTTAGCTCCATGGCCTCGTTGAAGACATTAGCAAGTTCCGAAACAAAATCGTCCAATTTTTTATCACCGCTTAAAACTTGGTTGAACGTGACAGAGAAGCCCTCGATCAGTTCAACAAAATCATTTCCCTCAATAGGTGAGTCCTGACCTGCTCTTACCTCATTTCTTAGCAACAAAACAAAATCATAAATCCGCGAAACAGCATTTTTCAAATCTTGGTGAATGCTCTGCAACTTTTGTTCAGCCAAATGACAATCTTCAACCAGATTTTGTTCTGCACATAAATCTGACACTTCTTCAGCATGAACCTGCACCTCAGAAGGCTTTTCCTGGTCCATGCAAGCATTCACATCTTGCAAAATGCATTTTATATCCCCCACTATTTTTTGTAGGTCAGCATCAGTAGATACAGATTCAAGAACCTTTGATACTCTAGATCTAAATTCCATCACTGTCGGACTACCTCTATCGGACTCCTCAAGTTCGGTATGAGCCGCAAGAATCACCAATTCTGACTTTTGATCACCTGAACCATCTTTGGAATCCATACTACCATTACTGCTAGATTGATTTGGCAAACAAGCTAACTTCTCCATTTCAAGAAAATCATCCATAAGCTCTGCATGACTATTAACACTTTCAACCCTCTCCAAGGCTGCCATCTCCTTCTCCTTCTTGTTCTGTTGTGATGGATTTGTTGACAAAGATTCACTGCAACTACCAGAATCGTCATTCCCATCTTCAGAAACAGAGATTGAGCTTGATGGATTGCTCGTATTTAGATTTGGACACACTTCAAGTGAGGACTTCTGAGAATTATTTTGATGCAGTTGAGCTTCTAAGCTTTGAAGCTTACTAGTGCTCTGAGCACAAAGATTCCGCGACTCCAACAACTCACTATTCCGCTTTGCTAAGGCTTCTTTCAACATCTTTGTCTCTTCTTCCATTGCAAGTAAACGCTCCGTTAGAAATTCATTTTCCTTTTGGAATTTCTGTGAATTATCGAGAGAGAACTCAGACCCAGTTGATGAGTATCCCCCGGGCGACTTGCATGGACTAGAGACCTTGACAGGAGATCTCTTTTGTCGGGCATCACCACTATCCCTGCCTAAGTTCTCAACCTCAAGCTTCATTTGAGCAAGTGCAGCTGGGCCTGGCAGCTTCTTTCTCACAAGACTTCTCAGTCTCTGGCATTCTGCTTCCAACTTAGCTATTTTCTTTACCCCTTCCAAGTGTTGCTTATTGGCAGATTCTGCAGATCTAATACACATGTTCTTTTCTTCGTTGCGTATCTCCAGCTCTTTAGAAACTACATGGACTTCGTACTTGAGAGACTTTATTTCTCTTTCGCACATTTCTAGATTGCTCTTCAGGGTCTCGATCTCAGCATCAGCTCGTGACTTCTCCTCACTAATATTTACTAGCATGTTGGACCGCTCCTGTAAAGTTCTCGATAGAGCATCACTATCTGCTGCAGACCTTAGCAGCTCTTGTTCATAGTCACACATCCTCTTTTCAAACTCCATTGTCATTTTTTCAATTTGCTTGGTCTTGCTTAAAGCAACATCATGCAGTTTCACTTCATGGTCTTTCTTCAAGTTCCTTATCTGCCTCATACATTCTTTCAATGCACCATCTAAATGTGCTGCACGATCTTCAGCTGTGAGTTTCGACAGAGTAACAGACTCCAGGGTGTTTTTCAATGTCAAAGCTTCCGTGTCAGCTTTTTCCCAACCTACAACAACAAAAGGCTATAACACTTTACTCTACATTACAGCTTAAACATTCACTGGTAACAAGATAAAAAAAGTTAAAATACCTGAAACAGCATCTTCAGCAACCTTGGAATGCTGCTTCACTAAGGCCTCCTTCGTAACTATCTCCTCATTAGCAACAGAAAGTTTTTCATTCAAGTCATCAATATCTTCATTAAGTTTCTGCACCTGTTCTTCATACTCATGAACCTTCTCATCATAAGCATCAATCTGTTCTTCAAAATCCTTAACTCGCTCCTCATAACTCTCAACTTGATTCTCATAAGTCTTAACTTGAACATCGTAAGACTTAATCTGAACATCATACGTCTTTATTTGTTCTTCCAAACCAGTGAAATGTGTATACTGCTCCACAGAAATTTGCACAAACTTTGGCTTCTTAATAGCTTCCTGTTTCCAAAATAACCAAAACCAAAACCATAAAATGTTCATCAAATATAGTAACAATACAAGTTGCTTAACAAAACCAAATGTCAGAGAGTAAAAATACCTTCTCAATCTGAGAATGAGAAGCATCAGCTGCAGAATCAATCACTAAGATTGATTTATCAGACGCCTTCTTCTTCCACGGCCAGCTTCGTCGGTCCATTGCAGTCTATAAAATTAATCACATTGTAACTATAATTACTAAATTTACCATTGGAGCTATATTCTATAAATACAGACTTCTAGTACCAAAAACACGAACTCATATATAAGCCCTTGAAGCAATTCAGATCCGAAAAAAAAAAAACCCTAATAAATTCATGGTAAATCTGATAATCATTGTTTTTTGCTGAATGAGGAAAAAAGATAATGTAATCTGAAGAAATTGAGAGCTGCATCGTCAAAAAAGTAGGTTACTAAATTAGGAAAAACAACAAGGTAAAGTAAACTTGCCGACACACCAAATTGAAGACAAAATAGCAAAAGAAATTAACTCTACGAAGCTTAAAAATCACTGTAATCGAGTTTTGAATTAAGCAGCACAAAGTCTAGAACACACACAGACATATGAACAAACAGAACAAGAGGATGATTTTTTTTATGTTCGGAAAAAAAAAATGATGTTTAAAGCTTACATCGGAGAGAAATGTAGCTTGTGGAAACGAAAACGAAGCTTTGTGTTCTTTGATCTTCGAACTTTAAAAGTGTTTGGACATGCGATTTTTTGGTAATGGAGATCTGGAATCGAGTTTTACTCACTCGGTGCTTGGAGTTGGAGCTGTTGAAGAATGCGGCGATGAGTAGTCGGAACCCTACGGTTGGTTACGGCGGCGGAAATGAGAGAAAGACGATGAAGTGGTGGCTGAGCTGAGGAAATGGTTTTTTTTTTTTTTTTTTTTTTTGGTCTCTTCGTTAAATGTGTCAAAATTTTAAAGAACGTTGCAGCATAAAGCTCCAAAAGAAAAGCATCTTCTTTCTTCTTCTTCTTTTTTTTGTTTTTTTTTTCAAGAAAGCATCTGCTTTATTTTAAAAAAGTATTTGAGAGGAAATATAATATAAGTAATAAATTGATATAAATAAATATGTTTATCTGGTAATATTAAATATGGTAATAAAGGGCCCATAGCTCTACCTAACACATTCAACTCACAAAGAGTCTTTGGCATTTGGTTAATTGATGATGATACCATTTGGCAGTGAAGTAATTAGAAGAAAGACTTAGACGATTAAAATTTTGGTTTTTGTAAGTTAAGAGTCAAATCTTAACCTCTTAATACTCCTAAAAGCTCTTAGCTAAGAGTCAAATCTTAGTATTTTAATCTGTTTTGATTTATTTTTTAAAATTTAATTCTAAAATAATAAGCTAAAAACCATATAAGATACTACCAATAATAGTACTCTTAGGGAATCAAATGTGTTGGAGGATTTTGCTGAATTTTAACTGAAATGAAGAAGAAAAGTAACGTAAGTTGACAAATGTTGCTAATTATTTTTTCTTAATTAGGTGACTATCGAAGTGTGAAAAAGTGGTTGTTACTTTTAAAAGCCTTTGGTTAAATTTTGTATGGGATTATTGATGAAATAAGATAGGTTTGTTAGAGAATTCTTACATAAATAATTTTGTGCTAAATTTTCTATTTTTACAAAATTACCTGAACATAGTCCCTTCGGGGACATCCGATAAAAAAAAAACAAAATTACCTGAACATGTGAATAACTGAATATGTGATTCAGCTAGATCTCGTCTCATATATATTTCTTCGTACTCATTATAAGTAACTAAATTGTCCTAAACATATAATTATTACAATAAATATGTATTAGTACAAGAAATGAAAGACACAAATAAATGAGGTCGGATAATATGTCTAGGATGGACAATCCTAAAGAGTGTAATTCTATCATTTTTCACACAAATTAAGAAAAGTAAACAAATTTTTTTCTATCTCTTTTTATTACACTAGATAACAGAGAAAAATCCCGAAAAAAACGTTGTCTATTTCTTATTTGCCCGTTTAATATCTGTAGTTTTAAAATTGAAATAAAAATATCTTGTCTATTTTTTGTTGCCTTTTAAATTCATTGTCTTTTAAATTTTGGTAATTTCGAACCTGCGACTTAACAGACGTTAATGGTCGTAACGGAATCATTTGACAGCGTTAAATTTTAACCATTCGTTTTTAACTATACATATACAATCGGTTTACAATTTGTTACAAATATATTGTCTTTGTCTAGGGCACTTATGTGGTTGTCTCCTTGTAATTTTCGACCACATATGACTTGTGTATCCCTTTGTAACCTTTTGAATGTTTCCAATACTCTTGTTGCTTTGTTTCTCGGGATTTATGTATCTTTTTTGAAGTTTATGAATGAATGTTCCTCTTCTTTTATGAATTACATTTTCTTTGGTTAATAGTAATTGTCTTAATCCAAATTTGGCAATTAAGATTTCGAATTTATGGTTCTTGAGTTGGGGATTTCGATTTTTGGGGTTTAAATGTATACAGGGTCGGGTATTAATAAGGAATCGGGTTTCTTTTTTTTTTATTTAGTTACGACCAATAGATGATTTCGTCTCTGGTTTATACACCTAACCGACGAAACCCAGATTCGGGGACATTAAACTATAAAACTTTCAATTCGAAGGGGAGGGGAGATATTAACTGAACTTCGATTTCATAGAAATATAGAGCGGGATTAAAGATTGGCCTCTATCTTGTATGATGCGATAGTTCTCGTTAACCGTCTATATAATTTTAAGATTTAAAAACTTCTCGATCTAAGATTAACAAAATTTCTCATTTTTGAAATCTTAAAATATTGTAGACTTACCAAACTGTCAAGTTTTTCACGAGCTATAATCATGATTCATTTTGTTGTATAAGAATTAATTAAATTCATGATCTTATATCTTTTTGGCCGTTTGATTTTACGAGTTCATTTTTTTGGTGAAATGATTTTACTAGTTCATTGCTAATTATGAATAATTTTCGTTTTTATTTTACAAAAGGCATATATATATATATTAAGACGGATATTAAACACAATAGAGACATTTAACATGTGCATTTACATAATTCCATAATTAGATAATAGGTTTTGCAAGTAAAAGGACAATCGAGTGGGCATGGCGCTTCTTGTTGAGGCCCAACATCCAAAGAGGCTTCTTTGTGGATCATATGCGAGATGAACTCTTTCTGCATCAAACTTCGACTTTCTACCTTTCCAATACTTGAAAATGTCATTTCTACAACGTTTAATTTAGGCTAAGTCAATAATTATATACAGTATAAATAATTTATAAAATTGAAAATATGTTATGCTGATCAATAAAATCGGTAAAATCCATACGAAAACAATATATAAAAGTAAATATTTACCAGAAATGAGAGCCAAGAAGACAAACAAAGTGAAGATTTTTAACATATATTTCATTATTATGGGCAGGTTTGTTACTAAGAGAGGTCCAAAAGAAAATAAAATGTTGAGTTTGATAACTTATCACATTATGTTTCAATCTTATAAATGTTGGAAGTGGTACTTTAGGGTAAATTAGTCATTTTATGAGGAAACTTTTTCTTAAAAAAGTAAGATCTCCAGTTATGAAGCTTATATACAAAAGGTTAATTGACACCAAAAACAATTAATGGTAATGACTAATGAGTCATCTTTATGAGAAATTTTATTTTAAGCCAAAGATCCAAAGTTTGTAGATCTTATTGAGAATTTTTACACGTCATATATTGATGTATATAACATTAATGAATGAGAAAGAAAATTTGATCGTTTTAAGCAAATACCAATATGTTTCACATGTGTCAAAGTAGAGTTTGATAATTATATATGCTTGATATGTAATGCAATATTTGAAAATTACTTTCTAGTTTCCACTACGTCACGAATCATAAAATACTTTTAAGTTCAAACATCTTCAAAATGTTAAGTCTTTTTGGGGTAGATTTTTTTTTTTGTCAACAATTCATATGATTAAGTATATGAAAACTTGTACATAAAATTGGTTATCTAATTTAGAGAACCAATAATATGATAATAAATAACTTTAATAATATGATAAAGTATCTAAAAATAAACAAAACAATAGGTCTTGATTGGCGACATGTCTATCGCATAATTCGAATAAAAAAAACTGGAAAACGCTTGTTATTAGCTGTTGGTGCAGTAATTAGCATCTCCGATAATACCGGCTTAAACCGGACGAATTACGAATAAAACTGAGATTTCAGTTAAATCGGGGTATCCCGGTTTAGCCTGTTAATGGGCTAAAGAAAGGAGGTCGTCTGGCGATCTCGACTCGAATAAGAGAGATCGCTAAACCGACTTCTTCATTCAAGAAAAGAAAGATTTTCCTTAAAAGAAAAGGAGAATCGCGGAAAGAAAGGAAAAGCAGAAGATAAGGCCCCAAAGATTTGGAAGATTAACATATCTCTAAACCGCCTTAATTATGTATAAATAGAGGGGTTTGTTCTCTATTCAAGGGATCCACAATTCCACACAAAAAAACCCTAGTTTTCTCAATTGGTCTTGAGCAAAACACTAACGTTGTCTCTAAGCAATAAAATTCATTCTGTATTCGAGTTTTTGAACAAAAATAGCAAGAGAGTTAATTTAATTTATTTTCCCTTTAAACAAATTCATTGTGTGATTTTTCTGAATCAACATTAGCCAATTAACAAAAGTAATAACAATTTGCGTTTTCTATAATATATATATATATATATTACCATTAACCTGCGAGTAATATGTTCAATCTGCATCACCATTAACCTGCGAGTAATATGTAATATTTTTTGGATTGGTGAAAGTAAAAAAAAAAAAACATTCTATACAAAAGATTCCTAATTGATTCTTTTGGCACACAACAAAAGTTTCCCCTTTAACCAATGTTTGGGGAATGTTTTAGCCAATATGCATTATACAATAATATACAAAAAAAAACTAGTACATAAAAAATACTAAGCTTCACTGAGTACAATGTTGGCTACACCCATAAGTTTGCGGAGATTTCCTCACCCATGAACATATATATATATGCAGATTTTAAGACAAATGAAGATGTGTCTTTAGTCAAGTGGTTAAGTCCACTTGACTCCGTCTTCTCCACCGGAGTTTGACTCCACTAAATCACGTTACCCCGTATAGTAGGGATGGCTATGGATCGGACATTGTCGATTAAAAAAAAAGGACAAATAATACACAAAACCACATTTCTATACGATATCAATGTTTTATCCACCGGTCCAATATTCCAAATCCGTGATGGGTAACAATTTTATTTTCTAAAAAATTTAGTGACTCTAGCAAAAGCAAAATAATAAATTTTCTAAACTATCTCCTTTCTAAATATTTCTGCATTTGAAGTAATTTTTCTAATCTTTTAACCACACATCATGGTACATATTTACACTGACTAAACGCCGCCATGCACCTTTATTGTTCTTGTATTCACGTACGTACTAATAATTACCAAGTAAAGATAAAACTAGAACCAGAGACATCACCAATAGATGAAGAAAAGTAAAGCGAAGAAAAAACAGTCCCATCAGCCAATGTAAACGAAATGGGTGAGGAATGACAATCAGATGCCAAAAGCCACCAAAGAATGAAGAAATGAACTTTCGTGAATTAAGGAATCGTTCTAGCATCCGTCAGGATAAAATTTCTTAACTAAGCCGGATTACCTTGGAAAATATAGGCTTGAGATTGCTTACAAAGAAAAAATATGAAATTTAAACTCTAGATGCCTGTGGTGAACAATCTCGATAAATTACTTAAGAATGGAACTTTGGTGATGTAGAGAGTCCAAATTATTAAAAATAATTATAATAATTCTTCACATGCACTCTTGTTTTTCTTTACATGAATTATTCTAGTTGAAGCATGGCAGCTTACTATCCCAAAAGTCTTTCCAAGTATGGTGAAAATCATTTATTTTTCATTTTATTTGGGACTGAATTTTAATTTTTGTAACTTTATCTTTAATTTCTGTTGAAAAATAAAACTGATTAATGGGACGAATAAGATTTATCACCCAAGTGCTAAAGAGTGTTAATAGATGTAAATAAGATTAGGATTTAACATATGGTTTGCATCTAAAACATTTTCTACGAAAGTTATTAAATTATTTTTTGGCGAGATTGCAAAACTACCTTTGCCAATAATAATAATGATAAATATTTGATAAAAGTTTAGTAATTAATAATGGCAAAAAAAATGAGTAATTTTAATTATATGACTAAATATCTTAAAGGATAAACAAACCATGATTAAAGATAAAACTAAAACAAGCCGAACAGCCAACTTAAACGAAAAAGGGAGGAGATTAATGGGACGAACAGAGAGGTTTATCACCCTAATGTTCCACCTTTGATGCATCTCTACTGAGAAGTCAAGAAGATATCAAAGTACGTGCTTCACCGGATAAGGTTTTCGCTAGGCCCGGCCCGCCACCAATACCCAAGATACAAATGTACTGGGCCTCTAAATTTTTAAAGATTTTTAGTACTAAAATTAGGTCTCAAGAATAATTTTTTATTGCAAAAAGAGGCCTCATTTTTCAAAACATTAAGATTTAGTCTCAAATTTTAAATTTTATCTATATCTTATTGCAAAAATAGGCCCCATTTTTCTGAAAATTTAAGATTTGGTCTATTTTTATATTTGTCTACAAAATTCATCAAAAAAAAATGATCTGTATTGGGCCTCATATATAACAAGGCCGGGCCTGGTTTTCGCATCTCAACAGTGTATATTACCAAAGCACTTTTGGAGTTGTGGGTAGATTCTTCATCTATTTCTAGAGAACATGAGTTGGATCGTCTTGGGAAGCGACTGCTCCCCAAAAGAATTAAATTTTATTTAGTCCAGGGGAATGTACAGATACCGACCCTAAATGGTTAACAAAAAAGAAAAGGCGTATATTACAAATATTTGTGAAGAAGAGAGTTCACTTATATTGGTTGGATTCAAATCTGGAGAGTTAGATGGCAAATTGGCAATCCACTTACATTTAAGTCTTTTATTTTATTTTTGTGATGCTTATGTAGTGAAATTTTCCTATAATGTTTTGCTGAATTGGTATCTGTAGAATCGATAAATTTTGACGTTGGTTTGTAACTTGTAGTCTAGCCTATAGTTTAGAAAATATTGTAGTGCAGCCTATAATTTGCATTGTTAGTGATTGGTTAGTTGAATTCAATTTAATTGTCCATTAACCATGTTTCTGGTCTCTTCCTTGGAATTTGCTTACTTATGCTGCGCTCAAAAGATACGAGTACGATGAAGCAAAAGGAAAATCCGGTGAAAGATTAGTCTCAGGCTCTGATGATTTTACAACATTTCTTTGGGAACAAGTTACCTCTTTCCCCTCAAAGTTATGGAAATAAAAATTATAAAATTTTACCAAGCTATTACACGGATATAAATTATTCATGTTCATTTGGAGAACACATACGAAACTCAAGAGTCGAGAGTTGCACGTTGCAAAGACAGAGTTATAGAGAAACCGGTTCAGACTTTGGTATATAGGGTTCGGACTTTGGTATATACCAGACGAGAGTTGTATATACTCTTTGGTATATAAGTTCGGACAAAGTTGCACGTTTCTATATACCAGACGAGAGTTTAGTTAACAATGCAAATTATAGGCTACACTACAATATTTTTTTCTCTTAGCTTCGGTTGACATGATAACTTTTTTAAAAAAAAGTTTATACGTTAATTTTGTATATTTTGGGATTTTTTGGAATATTTATTTTGAAATTGATAATTGTTGGTATAAAAGTTTTAAAAAAATAATTAATAGTATTTTAGGTTTGAAAATTCTTTTTTTTCTTAGGGGCTAGGTCCAAAATAAATTTCTGTTTACCAAATATGAAAACTTTTACATATTGAATCAAGTAGGTTGAGCCTTCTAAATTATGTATTTTAACTATTAAATAATCAGTGAGTTAATATTAGAAGTAGTGGTTAACTCGTTACGTTCAAAAAGAAATCTCTTAACCATATTAAAAGAAATATAAAAAGAAAAGTTGAATTATTAAAAAGATAAAGAAACTTCGACAATATTATCTCGTCTATAATAAAATTCTATTTTATATATATTGACCCAAAAAATTATAATAGTAAATATATAAAATACGAATAAAGGAACTAAATACATTTTCTCGAATAAAGAAATGAGGCGACCTTTTTTTCTTTTGTTCGATCACGCGGGAAATCTCAGCGTTCTTAAATTCACCAACAGAAAAAAAATTCATGTCTCCAAATTTGCTGATGTCACACGTCTAAAAGGCTATGAGGCCGAATGTGCTCTTGAATTGGATTTTGCCGGGAAAGGATGGTCTACGTTGGACAAAGCAGAGTAATTATATATTGGTAATGTTTAAGAAAGCGCTAGCCGCTAAGCAGGCGGTAACTTGGCGCCTAGCGCTTGAAACGCCTAATCGGAACCTAAATTATTTTAAACGGTTTAAACGTATTCCACGCTGCGGGTTCATCACTTGGTTAGCAGTGCGAGACAGATTAACAACGGGTGTGAGAATGCGCAGTTGGGGATTGATACAACCTTGCGAC